TCCAGATGCGAAACGCGCACGCGAGAACTACATTTTACGTGGGATATTGTGTAAAACGATGTGTTGCTCGCTACCTCACCGTGGGTCTTGTGAGAAAAGAACGGTCGAGTCGCAAGTTCTTTGCGCGAAACGACTGCGCGAGATATCGTCACGCGTTATTATCTTTTGTATATCCGAACACAATGTACATTTGTTTTTCAAAAAATCTCACAATAAAAAAAAAAAGAAAAAGAAGTTTCTACAATTTCATGACTTTATAGATCATTGTTGGCTTTTTTTTTTCCATACTGTTCTCTCTACTCCGTTCGAATACACACACATGCCTCGCAATAACGTCTTGTACGTGCAAGTGCATGATACGCTGGTAAACTTTAACAGAATCGCGACGCTTTCGATGGGGAAAAAAAAAAAAAAAAATTAGCACGTCGTGTAACGAGGAGACGTATGTACACGAGAGATTATTTAGACTCGGCTTTTATTACACCGGGGATAAGCTCTCGTTGTCTCGCGCACAGTCCCGCGACCGGTACCGGTTGTGTCCCTCTTGAGCCCGAGGGCGCAACGGTTAAATTCCAGCGGGCGTTCTCGCGTGGCGGAATGTCTCCCTGCGAGAGAGATCCCCGAGCGCAGGAAGAGCCGCGGGGGCTCCTTAACCGGGAAAGGAAAGAACGCGAGAGGAAAGAAGAGAGAGAAGGGGGGAGGGGGGCTTGTCTGAGTGAGACCTTCCGGGAAATTGGATTGGCATTTTGTTCTTTACGAGCGTTCGCGAGAGCCGCCGCGGTTCTACAAGGTAGAGAAACGTTCCTGTGTTCGGAGGACGAAGCGGTTGATACGCGGGGCGGGACATCGCTCCGCCGCTGGCAAAACACACATTTCTGTAACCCCCTCCCCCGAGTGAGAAGATTCGATTTAACTTTGATTTATTTGAATCCGGTTCTTCGAAAATTGCATAACAGCAAAATTGTGGCGAAATGATGGCTTTAAATAATAAAAAGAAGATTCAGGTTTTCGAAGTATTTTTTTATATACTTTTTCCGAAGCAGGTTTACTACTTCAGAACATTCTGAACAAAACTGCAATTGTTCAAAGTGTCGACCATTACCTTTTGACTGAAAAAAATATCGAAACGTGTTGAAAGACAAAGTATTGCCGCGTCCCGTGAGAAATGACGGGAGGGAAGAGACACATTGCGATTGGAAAAAAAAAATTTATATCTATAATACGCGCGCTCTCTCATTTCGCGCGAATCCAAGGAATGTAATAACAACTCTCGATTATCCATTTCCGATCCGGACGAGCTCCCGGGCTTTATCCGGGCGTATCGATTCGTATCTCCGATCCAGATGCGATCCAACGTGCGGCAAATGATACTTCCGTTCCGAGTGCGGAACGAGCGCGAGACCAATCTCTAATGACAGATCGCGCGAGCGGCGATTCTGCTCTCGCGGCAGATTCGGACTCGCGATGTTTCCGATTCCTATACGCCGCGCCGGTTGTCTCTCTCCCAGTCAGCGTGGCATAAATCGCGCATTCGACGAGAGAGAGAGAGAGGACGAGACGACTCTCTTCGACTTAGCGTCGAAGAAATAAATAACCGTGAAAAACAAAAAAAGAACGAAGGAAAAGAACGAGACGAAAACCACCCAGCGCGCGCGATCCGATCCGATCGGATTGTCGGATCGCGTGGATTTTTGTTCGGCGCGTGCAAGCAGGAAGCGCATGATTTGTGCCGACAATCGCGACACGTGGGCGTATGTATATCGGCCGGGAATACAGCCCGGGTTTCGATTCGAGTTCCTCCTGCGCGATAGCGGCCAGCTGCCCGCCTCTCAGCCTGCTTCTATCCTAGACGAGCGAGCGAGCGAGTGAGCGAGCGTCGAGCTATCGCGAACGAGAGACGGCAGACGGAGAATCGTTCTTCCTATCCTTCCAAGTTCGATGACTCTCGGCGATGATCATCGCGAGGAGGCAAACGTCCTCCTCCCTCCTGCCCTCCCGCTTCCCGCTCGCTGTGGCTGTGGGTCCCTTCGCGCTTCGTCGCCCCCCTGCACTCTTCTTCCTCCTCCTTCTCTTCCTTCATCCTCCTTCTCCTCCTCTGCCGCGTTGCTCCCTTCTCTCCTCTTACTCTTTTCCCCGCGTATACCCTACGCTCGAGTTATCATAACCGCCGCCATCCGTCATGCATCACTTGCCACTTTGTGCCCCGGAGAATCCTCTCGCCGCGGCACGACAATCGCGCGCGAATCGACCGGGGGAATCGACGCCGGCGACGGACGCCGAGCGAGCGAGCGCGAGGGTATTCGCCGGGTGGTTAACAAATTTCTCTCAATCGCTCATATCCCGAGAACAAATTCGTTTATTTAAATAAACTACGTTGACTTGTAAGCTTGATGTTTAAAACATTAAGCGGTTTGTTTGCATAAAGCTATGGTTTTCGTTTTTTTTATCAATTTCTCTTAATTAACTTTTTGAATTAATATGACTTTTCAATTTTTGTTTTATTGCCGTTTAGAGGATCGAGTCACGTGCGTATCAACAACAAACGACTATGAAGCACGTGGATTTCAGACTATTACATTGTCGGAAGTGAAACTGTGAGAAACGCGGTCTGCGTTTTTTCCTCCTCCGCGATATCGATCAATCGGGTCCCCGCCGTTGTTTCACCGCGCGTGTGGAAGTGAAACGTTCCTCAGAATCGAGCTCGTGCTTTTCCGTTCCGGAAAACGCGAATCATATAGACGCGCGCGGACGTGCTCATATATACGTACACACATACCTACATTACGTATACGATGCATACATGACAGCTGAACTATCGCTTACGCTTGGTATTCATGATGGTCAATCGGTCATTTCATACCAATTCTAATTTGAATCCTTTTCATCGGAGCTGTCGCCTTTTGTACGATACGTCGGCGAACAATGTTATTCGAAAGCGATATATCTCTCCGCGAGCGGATAATTTCGCTCATTCACACGCGAGATTTTTCGTCTTCAATAACTCTCTCGCGTGCGCCCGAGCGGCCGCGCGTCGTCGTTCGCTCGACGATGCTTTTATTTTTCACCGATCCGAAGAAAAGGAAAACCAGTTTTTCACGCGCGCTATCGCTTGCCTCCGTACCGTTGAATGCGAGAGACGCGTTAATAGGAGCGCGCGCGCTTTCTCTCTCTCTCTCTCTCTCTCTCTCTCTCTCTCTCTCTCTCTGCTCGTTTTGCGCCGTTTACCTTAACGACTTTTCACGTCGTCCCGCGCGACTTTTCTCGAGCGCATTTCGCAGTGGGTAGCGGTACTACCGGTCGCGCGATCGACGCGGATGTCGGGTCGCGTGTGTGCAGGTTGGGCACCTGCTCCCGGCACCGCCGGGTGAATGGGGAGAGGAACTTATACTTTAGAAAGACGCGTTCTCTCGAATCCCCCCTCCCCCTCCCCTTCCCGCCCGTTCGCCCTCTCTGTTTCTCTTTCCCGGCGTCCCGACACGACTGACACGAGGTTAAGCCACGTCTAACTGTAAGATAACCGGCCTGCCCGGATCGTCGGCCGGACTCTCGCGTGCGTTTGAATCTTCTCTTTTTTTTTTTCACCCCCTTGCCCTCGTACACGCTCCTCGTTCGTCAATGGCCGGGGCGAAGCGTCCTTCACGAAGTGTTGGAAAATTATATTTCTCATGTGTCTTCCTCTTCTTTGTCTCTTGAATCCTTTGACAAATTTTTATTGTTTTCCTTTCCTAAGTTAAAAAAAAAAAAAAAAATGGTTAAAGACTCTTTTAGAGGAAATTTTAATCCGTTAAATAAGTGCTGTATACTTTGATATATACTTTGTCAGTGATTTCCGAGGGAAATCGATTTGAAAGAACTCCGATATCACGATCGGATATCACCTCTTGACTGTTAATCTTCGCGCGGACCATGTGAATCGATTCTTGCGGAAATTCGATATTTTCTTTCACAGAGAAAGTTTATATCACGTCGTTATTAAGTGAAATTGATGGTATTTTGCATGCTGTGCTTGTCGGAGGGAAGCAAGAGAAAAAACGAGTATAGAACTGATTTTTTTTACACTTAATATCCGTGCGTGCGATTTTGCGTTAATGGTATCGATCGGTTGTTGTGGGATTGGCCTATAAAATATACTTTTCGCGAAGACAATATTAATTAGATGTATCGCTAATGCAAGCTAAGTTATTATGCAAAAGTAGCTTTATCGAAGAGTATTTAAAGCGGACTTTGCAAATTGATCTCTCTCATTAACGTTTAATTACGTTCTTATGCAAAGCGTTTCGCGAGTTAGTATGCGCAGGCGTACTTTTGACGCTGGCGGTTTGAGGGAAATTGCAAGCGGGTTTGCAAATTGACCCTCTTAATTGACCGTCATCTTACAAAGTATTTAAATCTCTGCATTATATGAATATTTACATCCAGTTGTTTCATTTTTCAGCATTTGATGTTACTTATTTGTCTCTCGAGATGCTCCTTTCATATTTATCATTTTATTCAAATTCCATTTTCTTATAATTAGCGATTATATATATTGATGGGGGGGAGGAGGAGGGGCGGGTATTATATTATATCTTTTTAATAAAATTTTTTACGCAAACTCATTGCGAGTCACAACAAATCTGTTTAACTATAATTATTTTCCCTTGAAAGTGGATAATATTATACTTTATATACAAAGTTTCGTATTGCTCGCGTATAAAAGTCCTAATTCCCGAGTTTATGTGAGGATACGTTCACCTTGGCGGATCCAATTAGCGTCCTCCTCAGTATCGTCCAATGGGATTTTCAACGAACGCGTTTTATAATTGGTCTCTCTCGCTCTTCGCGATACTTTCAGATGCAAGATGAATGGCGAATCGTGCAATCCATAGAGACGCCAGGCCGGCATTGAAATGGGCAACAACGGCAGCAGCTCCCATCAATACTGCGCGTCGTCCAACGGCCCGTCGCAGGAGATCGGCGGCCGCGGGTGGACGCAGTCCTTCCCGCGGGAGTTCGCGAGGCATCATCCCCAGCAGCCGGCGGGACACAAGGTCCTGCCTGAGCCGCCCAATCAGCGGCTGCGCGCAACCAATAATGGAAGCATCATTCACAACGGGGGAACCATAAGCGGCCGCAGACCGCCGGCCCTCACGCTTCCGCACGATCTTAATAAGGTAAGGATTCGCGGCGGCGGCTTTTCGAGTCGCGCTGATGACGTGGCGTGCCACGCTTCGCGAGCCGATCCCGCTGCACTTGCGCTGATTCGGAGAATGAAGATATCCCGGAACAGTTTAAGAAGTGCGTAACTTCAGGCTGGCCGCAAGAAGTTCGTCGCGTTTGAAGGCTTGTATTTTAAATGAGGATGAAGTTAAGTTCCAAGAAAGTTTTTTTTTAATTGAACGTACAAAATCTGGTTTCCACTTAGAACACAACGTTTTTTCGTTATTAAGTTGCTCGAACGTTTTTTCTATAAATTTTTATTAACAACAAGTAAATTAGTATACGTGAAATGCGCGCGTTGACGAAATTAATAGCACGCGCGATGTCTAATTTTTATATGTAAAAACCTCAAGATTCCTTTCGTATTAAATTTAATCGTTGCAACTATCAAATGTGTACACGGAAGAGGAGATAATTTTTTTTTCTGCTCCGAATCTTCGACGTGAAAGTTCGTAGCCCATAAAATCACCGCGTTGTACCCGAAAAAGAACGAATTTTTCATTCCGGTTCGCTCTTCCTGAATATCAGACAGTCAGTTCTCGTTCTGTCCGCGTAGAGTTTCCGTCGTCTAGAATTCTCACACGCGCGCGTTCGTGCGTAATTTGTGCGCACAATTTCTTTTTTTTTTTTTGGACCGGTTGCTATGTCAGTAACGTAACCCGGTTAAGAGGGTATTTCGCAGCGAGGCTTTTCGTTGCGAATTCGCGAAATGTATCACGCGGCCTTCATCGAACTTAGCATCGTTGCCGACGTTTCGCACACAAAGACGCCGCTATTTTCTCATCCGCCTGCTTTGTCACAGAGTGCTTCGTTCTCCGCTTGTCACACGAATCAGAAGGAAGTCGCGCGCGCGCGCGCGCGCAATTCTATACTAAATCACGCACAACGAGATGTTCTGAAGAACAAACGTAACGCACTTCACCCGTGTGCCACCTTTATGTAATACTTACGAGACAAAAAAAATTCCTTCAACCGTTACGCATATATAATTCGAACTCAGCTTAATGAGTTCTCCATTGTGAGAAACAAATGTAGATACAAAACAATAAAACGCGCAGATAAATTTTGCTCGCCTCACGCGCGTGCGAAACAGACCGTGTAAATGATAATAATAAATAAAAAACATTATTCAAACGCCGGCCGAGTGTGTGCGTGCGTGTGTGTGCGTGTGTGCGCAGCAGAATTGAAATTGGCTTGGTTTTCAAAGCGCGTTCTTTTCTTCAAATCTTTCAGCAAGGAATATTCCGCAGCCGCAGTACTTCGGCATCGAATATCGGCGCGTCGCGCAGCCGCAAGCTCGGTCATCATTGTTGCCATCACCGCAACGAGTCGAGTTGCTGCATGGAGAACGAGATGCAGGAGATCAAAAGGTTCGGCAGCGAGCCGGACCTGCGGTACTCGCCGATGGCACGGGAGGCGGCGGCGCGTTGCAACGGGAAACAGCAGCATCAGCACGCGATCACGGAACAGCGGCATTGCGGAAGCGGGCATTATCCCGAGCGGGACTGCAGGGAGCGCGAGAGCCGATACAAGGGCAGGAAGAAATACAAGGCGCCGGCGCCGCCGTCGAACGGCGTCATCGACGGGTCGTCTCCGGACTCGTACAAGTGAGAACGCCGACAAAACGCTTCGCTGTGAATTCACAGCGTTTTTTGTCGTCGATGCTTGAGCGCGTTTTTTTTTTTTATATATTTCACAAATTTCTCTTAGATAAAATAATTAACATCTCAAAAAATGTTTGAAACAAAGATATGATATAAATGCAAAAGTGTTTAAGTAGAAGATTATTAAAAGTAGAAGCTACTTCGGTGAACGCTTATTTAAAAAAAATTTTTTTTATAAAAGATGTATATTTTTTTTTTGTATTTAACATCAAGACTGTTTCTGTTGAGACTATTTCTCTGATGGCGATTCGAAGCGTCGGTATCACGGTCTCGACGTAAAGGAACGATTGTTGTACCTGCCCGCAGGTACACGGAATCGGGTCAGGATCGCCGCGGCGAGGGAGAGATTCAGCCACCTCCGAGGCGATCGCGGCTCTTCAAAACGCGAGCGGAGACAAAGAGGGCGCAGGTCAACTGGATCTCGTCGTCGCAGACCCACGGCGTCGCGGATCGTTGCGAGAACGGCGGGTTGGAGAACGAGCGGAGATGGCGGGGCGAGGACAGCCGTGCCGCCAACAAGGAAAACAGGCTTGTCTGGCGCGATCAGAGCAGCCGTCTCCATCAGGATCGCTGGTATCGGGACGAGTACAGGCGCTCGCGAATCTTCGACGGCAAGAACACGTTGCAACGAAGCATGAGCAGTCCGGAATTTCAGGCGGAACTGATGCAGGTCGCCCGAAAGGTACGTAACAAGCTCAACTGCGGCGGCAGATCGGGATCAGCAAATTTGGAACGCGGCAGCGATACCGATCGGTGCGTCAAGGAGCCGAAAATCGAGGAGACGAAGAGGCCGGAAAAACGAGCGGCGAGGAACGAAGTGAGTTCTCCGGAACGCGCGATCGAAGGTAGGATCGTCGAAGAGAGGCGGCTGATCGACCGCTGTAATCGAACGGAGAACAAGCTGAACGGACATGAAGATCACAAGGGTAACACCCGCAATTCCGGAAGAACTAAGGACTATGTAGACGAAAGGCAAGCAGAAGTGACATCGGGCGGTAAAAGACGTATCGTTGAGAAATCGACGACGCTCGACGAGACGGCACACTCGAGGGATCCTTTGCGGAAAAGTTCGAAGGATCGCTTGGACGCGGTGGGACAGTCTTCGGCGGAGAGGCTATCCTTGGAGAAACAACGCAGGGACCTCCTCGAGGACTATCAGCGAGCGAAGAGCGTGAGCAAGAGCCGGAAGTACGAGAACGCGACGGACCCGGCGAGAACCAGATCGGAGAGCCCGGTGAGGCCCTGCGTGAGAGATCCTCGGGGCCAAGCTTCCGGGAGGGAGAGCACGCCCGAGCGAACGAGCGAGGCCAAAGAGAGAGAGAAGGAGAGGGATCCCGATCGTAGATGGCGGAAAAACGAAGCGGCCAGAACAACCGACAACACGCTGAACGAGGAGAAGAGACGGGCCTGCGAACCTGTTCCTCCCGCGACAGCCGAGAAGGACGCGAAACCCAAAGAGAAGCTTGCGAGGAAACCAGAAGTCAAGGAAGTCCCGCGCGAGAAAAATTGGCACGTGTAAGTTGCTCTCTCTCTCTTTCTCTCTCTCTCTCTCCTTTTCTCTCATCTCCCGAGATCGATTTATCTTGCGAATATGCGCGCGAACACGCGTTCAGCAATTCCGTTAATTATTTCCTTTATCAATGAATGTCACGTGCATGCGGAGATAGAAGTAATAAGCGAGCGAGAGACTCATTTCTCGATGTTAAGAGATGACTAATTAGCATTCTCCGCTCTCGATCACCGAGCTCTACGTTTGAGTTGTTGTTCTCGATCGTTTCTCCAGATTGCCATCGCAGGAAAAATCCGCACCCAAGACGTTCTACTTCGGCATGGATGAAGCGTTGTCAAACGAGTCGCGGAATTGCGTGGATCAGCATATGGAGCAGATCCAGTCCAGGCTGCACTCGAAAGAAGTCAATGGATCGATCGATTGCTTGGATTATACGGACGATGTGAGTAAAATTTTTATAATAAAATTTTTGCAATTGTTTTTTCTCTTTTTAACATAATTATTTATTATAAAAACTGAATATACATGTAAGTAACTTTTGTGGAACAACTGACGTAACCCTTCAGGGTAAGAACGGACCGGAAGATATTTCGTTAAAATTGAGACCTACGTTACCTAAGAAACAACTAGAAATCCCGCGATTCTCACCATCGGCAGCGTGGAGATTGTTATCAGCGCTGGAAGCACCTGGACCAACCATGAGCACGGCAAGCGAGGAAGTTCCGGTAAGTAAAGATCTTCAAATGATAACTCAATAAGAAATACACAAAAAATACATATATAACTAAAGAACAAACGGATTGTTTGAGACTTTTTCCGTTAAGTTAACGTCTAATGGCAGGTGATGTTCGAGGAGCGTATCGAACGTCTGTCGAGGCCGCCTCCGCCGCTCATCGCGCTCGGTCCGCGCAGCTCGCACGACAAGTCCGGCGACTCTGGCATTTCTGGCGACGCCGGCGCGGCCAATGATGACTCGCTCGACGTCAGCACTAACACCAACAACAGATTGAAGACGCCGGCAACCAGGCCGACGTGGACGCCGCAGCAAGATCTAGGTGAGGAATCCAGCAGCGACGCCGGTGTGGACTCACCGCCGCCGATGCCGGCGCCGATCAAATTCCCACCTAGAGCGCACGTATTCTCGCTATCACTGCCACGTGATGACAATCGCATGTATTTGTACAATTCGGATCCGAAAAACAAGGAAGGTTCGACTTTCAATTCGCTACAGAAGCTGAAGAGATCGGTATCGGGCGCTTTGGGACTTGGACTTTTAGATTTAGAAAGAAAACGTACTCGCGACGTTCTGGACGATAACTGGATGTTGTCGACAAGTGCGCCGACTTCGCTGCAACACACGCAGATCACGGACGCGACGCGATCCTCGCCACCCGGCTGGAAGCCCGGTTTTGATGACGAAGACGACGACGACGAGGAACTAGAAGAGGACTCGGAGGATCGCGGCGACTTTCCTGTAATTATGAAACCGCCGTCGTTCTCGTATCTCGCTTCCGGTGGCCATGTTATGTATCTGCCCGAGTCGAACGACTCCCAGTATCAGTCGCAGAATTTGACCTACAAGAGCAACGTAACCGCAGATCATGAAAAGAACTCCAATATCAATTCCGGGCCAAAGTATCGCAAGAATAATATAGACGAAATCAGAAAATCAAACAAAGACATCGAGAAAACAAATAAACATTCCAAAGACTCGGCTATTCTGAAAGACAAGTCGTTCGCGAGCGACGGAAAGGTAAACAATAGATTTTCCAAGTCGTGCGAGAACATCTCCGAGATGAAACAACGAAGCGCTTCGCCGACCGGAGTTCAACAGAATCTGCAGGACAAAGAGGTCGCGTCGGAGGTGAAGCCGTTGCTGAAGAATAACTCGAAAGGCCGGAGATTTACGTTTCAGAGCACCGTGCGACAAATCGAGAGACGCAGATTGGCGGAGAAACTGTCGCGGGAAGCGGAAGCCAAGGAGAGACAAAGGAAGGGCGAGTTGGAGGCGATGCGTAAAGTTGAGGAAGAGTTTCAACGAAAACGAGCCCGGGAGAAAGCAAACATTAGGCAACAACTTCGCTTGTACAACATGGACGAAAACTTGAGGTAATGATCCTGAATTATGTCAAAGAATCGCAGTCACAAATTCATCTCATCTTTAATTGTTTCCTAAGGCTCCCGACATCGCGAAATCCATTTGTCACTTGTTCGTTCTAATTGCAGTAGTTTGCCACCTGCGTGGGATAGTTCGCAGTTGTCTCGCGCGGATCCGGACGGCGCGCCGTCGTCTTCGGCGTCGTCACCGACGTCGGTCCCACCGGCGAAGCTAACGACTATACGGAAGAGCAGCGTCAGCAGCGACGAGTATCTGCGCAAAAAAGGACCCAGCGCGGAAGCCAGACAGCAGCAACATCAACAACAACCGAGAGAATACAAAGATTATCGGCCAAAATATTACGACTGGGTGCCCGCAGATTCGTCGTCGCATTTGGATTACAAACAGACCACCGTGCATCCCAAAGTGGTCTGCGACATTCCCAAGAGCTCACCCGTCTTTGTGGACGCGCATATAAATGCCAACAAAACCGCGAATCTCAATTCCACGCCTAGATCCGACAATTACAGGTAAACAACAAAATTTGTAATTAACTCTTTGCATTGATTAACTCTTTGATTTGTTTTCACGGAAAATTGGTTTTTTATTTTCTAAAAATACAAATTTGTCTCTTTCGGCAATCTAAATGATTTTTATATTTAAAAAATGAGTTTTAATCCTAAGAGAAAAAGAAAAAAAAAGAACGAAAGATCCAAATGTTATTTCATCAGTCCTCTTCAAGTATAACACATTCTCATATGCTACACTCTCTAGACTTGTGCCTAATGTTACTTTTCATATTGACCGTCGACCGAAAGAAAGTGAGAAGTCGATGTACGCTACGCAAGGGTTAAGAAGGGTAAAGGTCTTCTTCGCGTCGCGCAATATGTGCGCGCGCGTACGAGAGACATCATTCCGCGGAGTCTTTGAATTCACTTTCACTCACGTGCCATGTTAGGCCGCGCTGTTACCCGCGATTGCGAGACGAAACCGCTAATGGCAAATAATCCCCGCATTCTGTTACCTAACAGGAAAGATTTTGCTCACGGAGCCGTGGCGGCGAGATCCTCCTTAGCGAGCAGCGACAGCGAGCTATCGCAACCGAACACAAGACCGCATTCCAGGCAAACAGGCGGCAAAAGCAAGCCCCTACGTTCTAGGTACGTTCGATATAATCTGACTCCCTTGATTTCCGCTTGAGGTAACGATTTCCTAAGAATGTCCCAAAATAATATAGCGACGCGCACGCGTGCGAATATTTTCAACTGGATGGTTTTTTGCAATGAATCTAAAACTTCTGCCCTATATCGAGGCGAGCTTGTTAAATATAAATTTTGCTTGAATCTCAAGTTTAATTTTATTAAAAAAAATAAATAAATAAAAATAAAACAAAAACAAATTAATAAAATAATTAAAATCACATTTATTTTTTAAGTATTTTTTTTTTTTACATTTAAAAAGATTTTATTTTAAATTTACAAATCCGATTTCCGCGCTCGCCTCGATATTACACAGAACTCAGTAGTATTCGATCTTATATTTAAGACCGTCTTAAGTGCATCTTAAAATGCTGCGCGGATCGTTTTACTGCCTACAGTTGCATTCGAAGATGAACTTAAGACGGTTTTAAATATGAGATTCGACTATATGAATATCAGCCGTAGCGCGAACACCATAGACCATTATCGCGATACATTCGACGGCAGTAGCTTATATCTCGCGTTGCCAGTTAATAAACACGAGTATTAATGTCAACGTTTACAGAAAACGTGTAGTGGTAATTAAATCTACTAATCGCATCTGTAGGCAAGAACTCGCGCAGTATCGTGCGACTATACTAATTTTTGGCTTTTTGATTTTTTATCATGCGCAGGTCTTAAGGTGGGCGTAAAAAGTACGTAGTCTTAACACCTCTAGTCATCTAACAACGCTTCATTAAATCAAGCCAAGCAAAAGTACGTTCGCGCGCTTCTAACTACGTATTGGGCGAGTATAACGTTTAATAGGTGGCGAGAGAGAGAGAGAGAGCGTTTGTGAGCGGGTAAACCGACGCGTCACAATTGTCAAACGCGCGTGTTACGTCACGTTACGTTTGAGAGAAATATTGTCGCTCCGCGATACTGCGCCTTGGTTTATCTTCCGACGCGTTGAACGTCCTCCAAGTCTTCAGGCGTGTCTATATAAGGACTATGCTAATATTTTACTAGATCCGCTCTCGCGGAGAATAGATGTTTGCCTTGACGTTCAGCGCGTTGACAAATACAGCAGAGGCGTCACGTGTTTCTCGAGCGATCGCAAAATATTGATTCTTTGTCGACGAAGGTGGTTTTTATTCAAAAAAAAAAAAAAATAAATAAAATAAAATAAATAAAAGAGAAAAAGAATTAACGTGTTTAAAAAATTCAATTTCTGAATAATGGAAAAGTGAATTTTAAATCACACACTTTGTCGTTTAACATTTTCTTGACTGCTTGTTGCTGCGAGCACACGGTGACGAAATTGGTCGCGTGGTGTTCTCTGCTGGCTGCCTAAAGTAGGAAGAAACGGGGGAGGGATGATGTCGAAACCGAGCGAAAAGAGTAAGAAACGGTTAACTAGGTCGGCTAGTCCAGCGCGCAGCGAGGAAGTCGTCAGTACGGAGGACGAGAACCCGGTGGAGCCGATCAAGCAGGAGCGAAACCTTACGAACGGTTTCTTATTGAACGGAGTGCAGCCTTTCGTGAGGGAGAAGAGCTATCGACCGATTTCGTTCAATCCCCAATCACCTCCGCCCATTCCAAGTTAGAAGTTCCGTTTCGTGGATCGTGAGAGAAGATACTTTAGATTTTAATGAGAAAGAACTTACGCGCAACAAAAATTCCAATTCGCACTTTTCACACATCTTTCGGTGTATGTAAAAACGCAAGATGTGTATCATCGAATTTGCATATTTGCGAATTTCCGCAAGTGCCACGTTCTACATATTTATTCGGTGACCGAAAAAATTATGAAAATTATTTAAAGAAAAAAAAACATTGACATTCGGTGTGTACATTGACTGAACACACACGCGCTTAAAAGCCAACGCGCATACTCGAAAAACTTTTATAAATAGAGATGTTTTTTCTATAAACGCGATTTACAAAGAAAATAGTACATATATATATATATACACATGCAATTTAGAAAAAATATATTCTTCGAGAAACAAATTCGTGTACTCTAAACTAAATGAATGTATATAACACTTGTAATAGCGCGTGTACAAGATTTTTCACGCAGTGTTAGTATGTACGTGAAACTAATGTTCATAGTAATAACTTTACGATGTGTAACAAGTAACACGATCTAACTCCTAACCAAATGTGTTCCATTATATATGACTCTTGGTACGTTCACATATTTACTATTTATACATGTCGTCATAAGTGATTAACAAAAGAGACAACAAAAAAAAAGCGGAATCAAAGAATCGTAAGCTTAACAACATGCGCGATGTCGTTTCATAAACTTACTTTACGAAACCGCGTCGCGTCGACAATAAAAAAAAACAAAAAAACAAAAAAACTATCGGGTATAACGCATTACTCAACAGGTTTAGGGCAAAGTATGTATTTTGTAATTATGTACAGATAACAATTGCAGGCGACTGCAAATATTTGCTCATGTAATGTAATCAAACAAACGTTGTTATTGACTGTGTGAGTTTCTTTTCTTTACCCTTTTCCCAAGAATCCCCTCATCGAACGAGCTGAAGTTGCGCACAGGCCAAGTTGAAACGAACAAGCTTGCAACCATCGATGTTTTTTTTTCTGTGTCTCTGTCGAGAAAATCCACTTTATTTTATGTGAATTATTTTACTTAAATTTACGTGAAGTATTTTACAAAAGATTTGTTTGCACAATTGTTATATTTTTTTTTTATTAACACTGTTGCGCTATTTTGTTTCAGAATTACATGTTATTAGAATTGTCCAGATTTTATTTGCATTTGACTTGAAATCAATCGCATAATTTGAGATTATTTTTTGTTTGAATGTTGGGAATTGTGTTGCTTCGTCGTAGCTTTCGCACATTCCGCGATTGTCGCGATTCGAAAATTAAAACGTACAAAATGAGCTCGCCAGGTTCTTCAAAAAATATCGTGTCCACTCCTTCTCTGGCCAACATGTAAGTTCATTATAATTTATTTTTTTACGTACAAAATTGTGGATTATTTACTCTTTCTTTCGTCCGCGTAGTTTAGTACATATTTCGTGATGTTTTAGACAAGTGCAATTCGAGTCGATATTGAACGAAAGTAGTAGCGACGAAGAAGAAACTGCGCAAAATATACCGCCACAAAATATCTCAAAGTCACAATCAGATGTGACGGTGCAAAAACAACGGAGTTGCAGTACAACTCACACCGAGATCTTTACCGATAGGGATGAGGCTAGTACAGTTTCGAAAGATCAGCATGTTTTTATTCAAAAAGAAATCATTCAAAATTATCTTAACATATTTCGTTTATGAGCAAACGTTCTTCAATTGTTTTTGTTGTATTCTTTATTTGTTATTTATATAAAAACACAAAATTCTAGAAAATGATTACGCGGAAAGTCAACACAAATTCCGACACAAAGATTATTTTATATGAATTATGACATTTCGCGTTTTATCCATGAATTCAAGAATAAGCCGCGAGTCGCATTCTTTGATCTCGCAGATCATTTTGGCATTGATCTGGTCGAACAATCAATTGGGCGCGGCGTACTATAACATTCTCTCGTACGAATTGTTCGTGATGGACGACACGTACGACGACGGCGTTCACTTCAACATCATGAAGGCGCTGTACAAGCAGTGCCAGCCGCGCTACGTCATCACGATCACCGGCACGTCCGACGAGTTCCTCACGGCGCTCGAGGCCCTGGTGAAGTCGGAAACGTCGTGCGATTCGAACGAATCGACAGGCAACGCCGGACCGACGCGGGTCTCGTTCAGGGTGATGCGGAAGAGGGAACACAACTTCGACAGATGCTATCACAGAGTGCGATGTCTCAAGTTGCAGTCGGAGCCAACGAATGCCAACCACGTCGAGAGGCTTATATTTCTTCAGGGTCTGTTGAATTTCAAATCGATGGCCATGATCCACGCGCTCGGTCTTCTCTTGATCTACATCGATCAGAGTTGGAGCAACATCGCGCTGGATCCTTTCGGCAGACCCAGCTTCGTATCTCTGTCCAGCGTAACGTTGTGAGTCTCTCGCCGATGTGATATCGAGATCTCTGTTACGTCAAAACGTCAATGATCACTTTTTCGGTCTCGATTTCGTAGACGCGACATCGTCATGGTGGACGACGACACTTACGAGGGATTAAATATCGTGCGCGCCAGATATCACCCGAGTCTTTTCAAGTGCGGTGACGCGAATTCGAAGAAACAAAGTGGCAGCTTATTCATCCTTCTCAATCGTTGCCAGTCGCGACTTGGAGCGCAGTTTTTGTGGCAAGTGTTGCCATGTCGTTATACGATAATATTCTCATCTTTATGACGTATAATTTTAATGCGTGATAATTACACAAGACAAAAAACAATTACAAGTCTGTATTATATTCCCACTAAGTATGTATTTTTCATCAACCACGTGTAGGAAAATATTGCGACATCCCACGAGAAATGCCGATGTTCTCAATGAAAGATTCGAAGTCATCGAATTCTGTTTGAATCCGGAAAACCAGAGTATCGTCGAAAATTTGACATCGTGCTTGAAACACGTTTATCGTTTGACCAACGTTATTCTGGATCGGCATTTGGCGCAGCAGACCAAGGTTTCCGACTGGCGGCGATTGCACAAGGTTTTGATCCCTTTTTTTTTTTTTACTGAATTTTTTAATTAAACAATTATCATAATGTATTCGCTATGTTCACGCGCATTAACGCCGTAGACGATTTCTTCCGTAATCTACATCGCCGATATATGCGAGAAGCACCGCGAAAAAGTTAAGCTGTTTCGTAAAATCGTTGATAGCGTGACGAACGAAGTACGTTACGTCAAGTATTTCATCGAGTACATCGTAGACTTTGGCGCGAAACGATCCGAGAACGATTTCATCGTCCGAGCGAACGTGGACTCGCACTTGGACAAACGTAAGATAATATTTCTCCGCGTAACATTTAATGAGTGGCGTATATATTGCAAAATACGTATTTTGTTTTCACAAATGAGAATTAAAATGCAGTGCATCACGTGAGAAGCACATTGCCCGAAACTCTGACCGAAATGGGAGAGAAAGATATGAAGGAGCATCTTCCACCGTCGGTGACGACCTGCAAAATGGTGTACATACCGAATATCGGATATCTGTTGGCGATAATCGGATGGAATCCGTCGCCAGCCGACAACGCGAATCTGCAGAATTTAGAATTCAAATTCATCAGCAACAACATACGTTACTACAAGAGTCCTAGCGCCAAAGGTTCTTGTTATTTTTATTGGCGCGCGATTTAAACTAACTCGTAAAAATGACGCGCGTGACGATTTTTTTAATAAATTGAACGATGATTTCAGAATTGGACGATACCATAGGTGACATAATGTTGAGAATAAACAAACGCGAGAGTTACATCATACTGAAACTCGTCAAGTACATAAACAAGCACGCTGCGTCGATTTTCAACGCGATTCAGTTGTGCGCTGAATTAGACACGTAAGTGCATGCGTTATATAAAAAAAAACGTCTACGTCAAATTGATGACGTTAAGTCGAGAAAAACGACCAAGCGACAAAAAATTCGATATATAACGCGGTATTATTGATCGTTGCAGATTGCTGGCGCTTTCCGTGGTCGCGCGTGAATATAATTACGTGAAACCGAATATGGTGACGCGACAGATTATAGCGATAGAACAGGGCCGACATCCCTTGCTGGAATTTCTGACAACGTTCGTTCCGAACGACACTTATTCCGGAGACGGGAAGAGTCTCGTAAAAGTTCTGACCGGTCCAAACGCTTCGGGCAAGAGCACTTATATGAAACAAGTCGCGCTCATAATTTTCATGGCTCATATCGGCTGTTACGTACCGGCGAAATCGGCCACCATAGGAATAATGACTCACATCCTGACTCAGATCACGCATACAGACAGCGTAGCTCTCAATACGAGTATGTTCTTGCAAGATATACGGCAGGTACAGATATGTTTATTGATTTTTCGCGGTGCGTATCAAGTTACGCCGTCAATAGTTTCAAACTTGATCTCCCCGGGGGGGTTTTATCTTCGTTTTTAGATAAATTCTGCTCTGTACGCGTCCACACCGAATTCCGTCGTTATTCTGGACGAGTTCGGTAACGGAACGTCCGAATTGAGCGGCTTGTCATTGCTCGCAGCCATACTGAATCATTTCATTGAACGAGGCGAGTCTTGTCCTCACATTTTTGCGGCTACGCATATTCATCGGGTCATGAGCACGTTGCCGCGAGATCCGATACTCGAGGAACAGGTACGATAGATATATGCTCAGGTATAATTTAATCCTTCACCGCCGATGTGGAGAACCCAGATTCATTGGCTGTGAATGTTGGAATAACTTTCAATTTGTAAACAAGAAAAAAAATACAATCCAACTTCTACAATAACGAAAACTCGTTGTTAAAACTCTCACGAGTATACGAGAATTTTTTTGAGAATTTTATAGTGTTCGAAATCTAAAAATCTGCGAATCTCTCAAAGATGCAGACTGCTGACGGAAGATGTTAAATTACACGTTGCCGGCGAAGAATTAAAAACCACCACTTGTTATATCGCTGATTTCTTAGTTCCTTAATTATTTTTACTCACAGACTTTCGAGTTTATTACAAACGACGATGGTTCCGTGGCGTATCTTTACCGTATAATTAGCGGACATGCAACACGCAGTTTCGCACATGAAGCTGCGCGAAGCGCAGGATTGGATGAACAAATTGTGAAACGAGCATTGGAGGTAATTAGAAATTTTCTTGTGTGCGTAAATCAAATTAAAGTTTAATTATGCATTAAGTTAAATTGTTTTTTTTTTTTTTGCGAATTACTTCCTATGCGATATTTTTGCAGGTGTACGAAAAATTTAAAGTCGGCGAATTACCTACACGTTTGCAGGAAGCGCAAAAACAAGACAAGTGAGAATATTTCAAGTATTGTGAAATAAAATTAACTTTCATGTGTTTACACATACAGACAAAATATTACGCTTTTAAATTTATAATTGTGCAATTTACGAATTTTTAGAGCAACGAGCATTATTGAGAGATTGTTGGAAGAGAGTGAGAATATCGATTTAGAAGAATTGAAATCAATGATTCGACAAGTCACAGATTAGTCAAATGCGAGATAAATACAGAAATTAAACAAGGTTTCTTTTTTTAAAAGAAATTTACTATAATATAATTAGCGAAGTAATTAAAGAAGAATATTTAATTTTTAAAAATAATTACATATTTTTTCACTAATTCAAGGATCTTAGCAAGATTTTAATAATCGATAGTTTCCAGTGGAACAATAACGCTAAATATTTAATATCCTAAATGTGTACAATATTGAAGTAAGTTGCAATATAAAATATAAAGCGTTTATCAAGTATTTTGATTATTTTCAGGAAACATCAAAAACACTATGTGTAAACGCGATGCAGCAACACGAAGCGCACGTTTTGACTACATAATTTATGAATTGCTAGATACCTCTCTTCATTTTTCTTCAGAAAGTCTGTAGCGATGGTTTTTCGATTCGCACGCGTCGTTGCAACAGTGGACTTTTAAAATACAAAATGAAGTCCGAATCTTCTGTCATGAACATATATTTTCACCGTGTGATATCTACTAATTTCTACCACTTGGTCGACGAAGGCGCTGTTAATCTGCATTACAGCATAAAAATACGGAGATAGCAGTCCATGGTTATATGCACTTAAAAGAACGCGATGCAATTTTTACCTAAAAAAAAAAAATATGCATCTTCGTTGCATTTCTCACAATTCAGACTAGATGTCGCAAATAGTCACCCTGTGTCAGTCGCACCTGCACGGTCGCGTCGCTAGATGTCGGTACGATTGGTGCGCGCCGGCCGGGAGTTGGCGCTCGCAGTCTTTCCGTTGTCAATAACGGACACTGGCAGTGTATCCCGGTACGAAAACGAAACGGTTGTACCTCGGCGCCGATAGATAGATACTCCGAAGTAACGGCCGAGTCGCGGACGCGATTCGACTGGCTGACGTGAGGACGTACAATCGTGGTCGTGTGTGGGCGTGTGCGTGCGCGGTCGTTCGCGCTGCCGACTGCTCTCGCCGTCTCGTCCACGAAAACGAGAACAACGACGACGAGGACGACGACGACGACGACAACGACGACGACGACGACGACGCGGTGCGAAAGCCGCGAGCCAGAATACGCACGGGCACGCCTCGAAGAGAGGGAGAGAGAAGGAGAAGAAAATTCCCCCGGGACAAGGAGAATCTGCTACGGGGGACGGAGAGAAGAGAAGAGCGTCATCGTCGACAGAAAAGGAGCAAAAACGGACAGGACGACAAAGAGCGAGACGGCAGGTCCCGACCGGTCGTCGCCGCGCGGAGTTTGAATGCGTACGCTTCTTTAACTGTCAACCGTCGTCGTTCGCCGCGAGTCGATATCTCTGTCTTTCTCTTTCTTGCGATCGCGCACACGTTCGAGTCGATTAATCGGCCGCGTGCGAGTCTTTTCTCTTCCGATCTCGCGCGGTGGTTGTTGGTAACGGTTTTGGAAGCCGGTCTTATACGCGTTTTATGGTGCCGACGGAGACTGACTTAATGACCATGGATCGCAACACAGTCAACATCGACGTCGGCGATAGCATAAACATCCAGAGAACCGACGGTAAGTGCGAAAATAATCCCCTCTTTTTGAACGGTATTGCCGTATCGTCGCTGCATGTGCGAGAAACGCGTTTCGCCGTTACAGTCGCTCTCGGTTTTGCTTCTTCGTCGCTCCTGTCGTTGCTTCCTTCTATCTCACAAACATCTTTCATCTGTATTCTGTTCCCATCCGCTCGTCCTCGTCTTTCTTTCGTTTCGTTAATCTCTATTATCCCGTGTTCTTGTCTCTCATAACATATTTGTGTCTCCTGTATACACCACACGACATTCGTTCGTATAATCCTTTTATTATCTCGATCGTGGCGTGATCATGAAATTCTTCGTCTGTTCTCCCGCGTTCGTTTATTTTCTTTCCCTTAGAAAGACCGTTTATTTGCGTCCAGTTACGTTTTGCTCCTCCTTCACTTTCGTGCATTTATTTACGCTTTTTTCTTACTCGTTCTTTTTGTCTCTATTTACTTCACGCTTCTTTTTTTTTTATTTATTTTTTTTTTATTCTCTCGGTGTTTCTTCTAACGTATTTCTTTTTATTTCCAATTTCCATTGTCCGTTCTCTCTGTTCTTTCTCTCTTATTCTCTCTCTTCCTTTCTCATTCGCTCTCACTCGCTTACCTGAACTCGCTCACCTGGACTCGCTCGTGCGTCTCCGTGTTTTTCCGCGATCGCTGTCACGCGGTCGGGCCCCGCAAGTTCGAAACGCAGGAGAGCTGTTCGACGTGCGATTACTGCGCGTGGGCCTAAAACCGTTCCTATCGGCGTTGACCGAGATCCCTTGTTTTCCGTATGTTCAAAATCGCGTTTCCATATACAATATGTTGTACGACCGCAATTTGCTCAAATTTCTTTACACGTATTTGTTTTTCTTCTTTGTTGATATTTTTTTTCTTGTAGTGTTTTTGAACACATTGGTTCGCGCTGCTACATGAATTATCATTAAGAAAATTAATAATTAAGAGCACGTGAGAAAAACTCGATATTATTATTAGCACACAAATTGATTGTTGAAGAAAACGCGAAGAGACATTTTATACTATAAAGAGAAATTGATTTTGTTTTTCATTTTCTCGTCATAAAAATTATCGTGTATTGTAGAATTTATCTGGTGCATTGGTAGCTTTGATGTTTGAGAGATATCGCGAATCTTGACATTCAAGAGAAATTGAGTGTCAAGGATGACCGTGTATCAGACTTCCTTTATATCGGAAAATTGCTTCTAATAATATCTCATCAATCCGAATTCCTCTTCGAGCAAATGTAATAAAGCCAAAAACCGCACACGAAAAAAAAAAAAATCGCGATAAGATCTGAGTGTAACCGACGTTTTAAAACCGCCGATCGAGCCGCAAGGAGGCGCTTCCTTTCACCACGCTTGTTGTTTCCGACATGTAGAACGAGACCGAAAATCTCACGAGCGAGTTGCGTTCTCATTAGCGTAATCGAAGAACGGAAGTAGCGTCACAAAACACAGACTGCTGTAAATTAAGTTTTCGAACACTTGTAAGAAACACTTTATTTGCCGTCTGTGTACCACAATTAAATATAAGCGTTTTTTTTAGACTATATTTGTTTAGAAACTATACTGTCTAACTATATTGTCAGTAATCCGAAAGTTTTAAGGAAGAAAATAGTTTGGAAATGTCTGGAAAGAGAAGAAAAGTAAAGGTGAGAAAATTTCACGTTTGTTTTAGTGCCAAGACTTCAATAGTTCGGAAAACATTGGAAAAACGAGAGCTCCTCAAGATTGCATTTGTGCCCCTCTCTTTCTTTCTCTCTATCTCTCTTTTTCTCTCTTTACTTGAGCGAGTTAATCAAAGACGAAGATCTATTATGTGATCGCAAACTTCCCAAGCACGAACTCGGTATTCTCTCATTCACGTCGAAGAAACGGGAAAAATATATATGTCAAATCCAAATTTGACGTCATTGATATACCTACGTTTTCTATTGATCTTGCAATTGTTTATATATATATATGTGATACACTCGGAATCGATCATCTGACTGGTTGGCATATGTTGGCAGAGTATAATCGCGTCTTTCAGATTGCTGCGAACTGTGCTGATATAAATCTTTACACTATCGTATAAATACTCACTAAGAAAGATGTTATGAGGAAATTTAAATGTTACAATAATATAAATACCATTATTGTAATAAATTAATTAAATATTTAATTAAATATAAATAATTAAATAAATATTTAATTAAATATATATTTAATTAAATAATTAATTAAATATGTATTGTACTGTCATATTTAATTAAAATGAAAATAAGGAAACAACTGCTAATTAAGAATTCTGATAAACTAAAAAAGAGATGAAACACGAGAAAAATGTAATCGTTCACACCAAAAAAAAACAAATATAACGGCACGTGTATACGCATTTAAAAACATTTATGTTTAACTGCCGTAAAAAATATATCGCAATTTTTCATCTGTTCTCAGCGAAGAGTCAGAAATATCTTCGAGCGTATAAATCACTCGCAAGTTCACCCCTTAAATTCGGTTCGTTCTCGAGATAGTTTTTTTTCTGCGGAAAAAGAGTTAGGAGCACGTATATGTCGGTATATCTTTCGATATTTAATTCAAAGTGCGAGCCCGTACGACCACGGGAACTTATCAACTATGAACGAGCGAAGTTTCGTTCGCGGTGTGCATGTCTGCACTTCGGATGCGCGCACTCGTTCGCTGCCCACACCGCACCGTTACGTTCTCGCGACGCGGTGCAACGAGCGGCATGTTACAGGGGAGGACTGGGGCATAATTGATCCGGCAGAGAGCACACTCTCTCGCCGGACAATACTTACCTTTCGAGCCCTACGCGAAAATATTCCTCATAAACTAGACAGCGCAATAACGAACCGCTCGCCGTGTCGACTCCCGCGTCGTTGAATGCTTATCAGGGCATTCATAATTTGTGAGGAGATTCAGCCCGAGTTGCCTGTGTGCGAGTTCACCTCCTTTCTTCTCATCGTCTGAATAAGCAAGTTTTTTTTTGTTTTTAACGTCAGAATACGAAATTTGTTGAATGTCTGAATTGTAAGTTCATATAATATATATATACATATATATCTCGAGGTCGCGCAATTTTTTTATGTATTAAAGAGAAACGCGTACACACACAAAAAAAATATTTACAAAACTTTTAAGACATTATTTATCGTATTTTTGTTGATTTTATCGAACGTTGTAACATCACTTAGAGATAAAACTATAAGCAAGATTTGAAAATTACAGAGACTGCAAAATATCTCTTCAGGATTCGTACACTCAGAAATCTGATTTATTATTCTCTGTGTTTCTCCATTTGTTAGCATAAGGATATATAAGATCGGCTGCTGCAGATCTTTTTCACGTTTTTAATGCGAGAGCCGCGTTAGCGCCCGATTCGTAACTTGGCACTAAACTTCATTAATTATTCCCGTACATCTGTATCGCGTAGACGGCGGATGTGAAGCATTTCGTATTT